AATGTATTATTCTTGCCTGTGACAGCATCCACCTCCTCTTCAGGTGTCATAGCGTGTGTTTTCTCAAGTAACGGAGAGAATGGCATGTTGGTGTTCAGGTTCAGGCCCAACATGAAGTTATGCACCTGGAAAATGATGACAAGGGGGGGGGGATTAGGACAGCGCGCAATGCAAGGCTGTTGTAAATACTAACGCAGGAAGACTCGACTCACGCATACGTGTATGCATAATGCATTGAATATATTCGTGTACCTTTCCAGCACGGCCCTCCCTTGTGTTGAACAAAGCAGAGTCGCCCAAGACTGACGTGAACATACGCTGAACCCAGCTGGCCTGAGCGGTGCGATGAAACTCCTCCTCTGCCTCCTGGTTTTCTGTCCCACCTAAAAACCAAAGTAACCCCAGGTGGAATACGCAAAGGTGGTTAATCTAATGCATAATGTACACAAAATTAAAAACGGATACATTTCAACAAAATACATGATTTTGCATTGTTGCATAAATGTGCTAAAACTATGTTAACATGTTGCACGAAAAGTACAAAAACTTTATGGGTATCGATTCATTCCAAATCTCCAATTGTTTTAAATGTTCTTGTACACACGACATCAATCAATTTATTGATGCAGTGCCAATCAAGGTGCTTTTCACTGTAACGTAAAGACCCTACAATTTTAGAGAGAACCCCAACAATCAGCACTGTCCGCTTGGCGACAGTGGGAAGGAAGAACTCCATTTTACAGAAGCTCCTCCCTGAGCTTGGTTCTGACGTGCTCAGAGAGGGGCAGCCGTTTGTGTGAGCGGGAAAGATTTCAGACCTGTTTTTCTTTTGTATTGTTAAACCCAAGACTGACAGCATGACAAGCATTCTTTCCACCATTCAAAAGAAAATTAAACCCAGTAGAAAAATACGTCATTAATGTGTCAGCAGTGAAATGCAAATATTCAATAAGCTGAAATATGTAAAGGAATATGGACACTTAAGATGCTTGTAGACATTTGTAGAGTGCAATTTAAAAAAAAACAACCTATCACATCTTTCTTATCTAGTTTTATTTAATCTTCAGTGTCACTTGAAACAAACACTGTTGTTGGTTTTGTTTGTACCCTTATAATCCACCCACTCATTCTCTCTCCGTCTCTTCCTCTTTGTCTATATATAGCTGTTTCTAAAAATTCACTCAGGGCATAGTGCAAACACTTCTTCAAGAAGGAAGAAAAGGCATCTACGTGAATATTTACATAAATGTTTGGCTTCAATCATCAAAGTCAGACCATGAATAAAAACAAAATAAATAAAAACAATGCAAACTCTGGCAGTTGGATAGCGGCAGAAGTGAAAGCACGCCGATCAGCACTTTATCGTGATCTGACCTCGGCAGCTGCGAAACAGACGAAATTTACACCATTACCACAAACTTTCACAACGTCTCAAGGGGCTCAACTTTTGCTCAAACATTTCAATGTGTCAACCAGTGTGCTGAACCTCATTTTTACTCCATCAAAAGGAACGCCGAGTTCACCTTTGCGTGGCTCGTCGTCGTCCAGGGCGTCTTCTCCAACGATGTGCTGTGGTTTGATCTGCTCTGTAGGACACGAGGCAACATTTGTTAATTTGAGTCACACACACGGCAAATCTGCATCTAAACTTTTGTTTAATTATGCAACTTTACAGAACTTAAGTCAAACAAAGAAAGACCTGACACAAGCGAGCACCTGTTACTAATGCATTCTTTAGTAAGGTGGGGACGCTTTTGCACAACCAACACATTGTGAGAGTGCGTCTCAATGTAAAAGGTCACCCTAACATGTGCATTCAAGCAAACCGAGTCATCTCACCAGGCAAAAGAACCTGATGCCTTTCTGCTGTTGCGTTAACATAAACACTCAAAGAGTCCCACGATAAATAGTGAGAAAAAAAATGAGGTTGGAAATACCTAGGTGTGAGAAAATAATTCTAAACAAAACAAATTCAAGTGTGACACATGACTGTGACAATAGTCTCTCAGACATGACTGAATGCCTGTGTCAATGGGAGGCTGCGCTGTGGAAGTTATTTCAGCAGCAGATGCTCATACCAAAACAAAGAGATTATCTAAAAAATGAAAACATAAACTAATGCAAAGTAGCCAGCTAATCATGGCTAAAAGCACCAATCAGTAAATCTGTACAAAATAATCTGTATAAAATAAGTAGCGTGTTTTCCGCACTTTTAGGCTCACTTAAAATCCTTTAATTTTCTCAAAAATCGACAGTGCTTATAATCCGCTACGAAGCCGCACCACTTGACAGATTGTCGGAGCATCACGGCTGCCGTAGTCAGTAGCCTCAAGGTGTAATCTGGGTCCTAAACTCCATCTGCTTCAGGTCCCAAAGTCAAACGAACACTGCGGCATCACTGGGAGTTAAAAACTGTCTAAATTCTTTCATCTTTAATAAAACGATCAGCGTTGCTGCTTTACCAGATGCAATAATTAAGTTTAACATCCGGGCATCCATGAAAACAAAATTTATTACATTTAACAGAGTTAGAAGTTAGCAGGAAGTTAGCTCGCTAGCTTCCACCTAAACATGATATAGCATGTTCTGACTGAGAGATTTCTGAAAAATTCAAACGTACAGCTCTGCTGTCACTTCCAACATAAATGAAGACAGAAAACTAAACAGCAGTGACGTTTGTAGGGTTACTGAAGTTGGGCTAGCTGGTATATAATGATGTGCTACGTGATCGCTAGCGACACAGCTATGTTAGCATAACATAAACACAGTGAAGCTGGAGGATGAACGCTAACTTTTTTCCGCTCGATAAAAGTTAACGTGAGGGTTCCCGATGGTTGGAGACAAATACAATCGCATGGCAGGATGCTGTAAACGGACCAAACGTCAGTCAGGAGAACAACTGAGATAATCCATCCACAATACGAAGTTAGTCATTAATATACTGCAACAACATGGGAATAGAGCAGCGTGATAGAATACAGCATTAATGAATCAATTGTATGGAAGTGGAGGAAGCAAGAAGAATGAGTTGAGTAAAGTTTGACTTATCTGACTGTTATGTTTTGATTAATGCGCCTTCTGGTCCGAAAAATACGGTACTGTCACATATACTGTGTGGACGATCTGTATTTCATTTCTACATGGAAGCGTATGCTTTTAAAATAAGAAATAACATTTCGATTCTTATCGTTTCTCGAGTACTCCAATTTTTACTTCTTTTATAATACTTGATTTAAAATAATTAAATGTGCATTTAACTGAAAAAAAGTGCTTGGAATGTGCACATCTACAATTAAAATTCTGTCTGCTGACTAAAACCATTTGACGCCCTCTGATCGGCGGCTGAATCCACCTTGCAGCAAAATTATCGGGTCACTTTCTGGGTTATTTAGCACTTGTATTGTTCAGTCCAAACAAACAAAATGAAAAATATTACCTAACTCCTCCTCCATGGTGCTGCCACCAGCTGTGTCCTTGACCCCTAGCACTCTGTTGAACAGAATTGAGAAGGCACTTCCCCACACACCTAAAAAAACAAAAACAAAAAACATGTCAGGTTTGAATCTTGTATCTACTTGTATCTGTTGCTCCTGGACGCTTCAGATCAGAAAACTTCCGAAATGTCTGCTTTTATAGATGTGCTCACATTCGTTGACCCTTTTATTTCCTCGGGAAGCAATAAGGGAAGCTTGTAAGTCCTGTGGAAAACCTTTTTTGTATGACTGCAGATGAAAACATGTTTCTCACCCATCAGAAAATGAAGAGGGTTTTCCTCGTACTTCTTCACAACAGTTCCCATGAAGAACTTGCTTCCAAATAGGTCAGGGGTCATGAAGGTGCCATACTTTGCCATCCCAATTTCATATGGGCTAAACTCCACCCAGTCTGCAGGTTGAAATCCCAGTGTTATGGTCACAAAAAGGAACAATAGTAATACTGCATTGCATGATTGCATTGTGCACTCCGACACAGGCTACATTGTTGGATAAAAATATCATGCATGGAAAGAAATCTTACATATACTTGACAATGCTAAACAATTAATACTGTCCCTGCGTCACGCTGCCAACACACCGGATGGGAATTTGAAACAGTTTACACAATTTGCTGGCCTTTAAGAGATGTCCACCTTTGAGTCATCGCTCAGAGATAACACTTCCCAACGTCCACAGGGAAAAAAAACAAAAAAACAAAAACATGTTTGACAATAAACAGTACTTCGCATGTCTGCACATGTCAATGTTGCACGCTCGCCCACACACCATCTCTCTCACAAAAAGACGTCGTCAAAGATTAACACACAGTTCTCATTTTGAGCTACTGGTCATCAACAGTAGGCGCAACTTCCCTTTCCTGTCAAAACACTCAGTTTATTATATCTCTGACTTCACATTATATTGGAACATTCCTGTCAGAATCTGGTCCATGTTGGTGAGACTGCAAGAGATGATTTCCAAGGTTTTACAGAAATGATGCCACCGTTCTCCTTTTCTACTCAAAGATGCCTGAACATGGGGACGTTCTGGCCGTAAAGGGATGTGCACGGTCTGGATGAATACTCCAAGAGTGATTCTCCGTATTACAATAATCTTTCTGAGCTTGAACCTGTCTGGGCATTCTGCTCTGAACTCGCTCATCAACAGGATGCTTCTATCTGCATTTACTGGATGGGTGTTGTTTTCCTATTGCTTTTTGGAGCCAAAACAAAAACTATTTTGTGCCCCGGGGCCCACAAACCCCGCTTTGAAACAGACTCTGGAGAGGAGAGACTCTTCGTGGCGTGTTTATACACCAACCTGATGTAACATGTCGTTATGAAATATTGGTAACTGCTTTTACAGACACGTATTCGCCCATAAATAGCCGCTGAAGGGAACACAGACATACAAACGGACGCATACTCTCACAGTGACACTACTCAGACCTCGGAAACCTCAACAATCGCAGCTTATTTCACATCTCGCTTCAGGAATTTTCTACTGAAATTGTCATTGGAGATTTTAGACAAGCAGATAAGAGAAAAAACAAGTTTTATCTTACTTTCAAAGATCTGATAAACAACTGATGATGGAAAACATGTAAATCTAGACTGGCAGCAGGTTTGGCCTTGCCCTTATGCGTATCAAAGTGCCACTGAACAATATATTCATTTTTTAGAAACCTGCTGTAACAAACGACTGTCTGGACCGCTGAATGTATTTATTGAAATAGCTGAAAGGCAGTTTGTAATCCAAAACTCAACTGCCCACGACAATTTAGATTCGTGAACAGAAGCACAAACATTTCCTCGATAAACAGTTTGGCGGCGTGATGGAATTCGGTGAACGCGGATAGGAAGAGTTTATTCTTGATAAGCATCAGAAAAGTCTAAACTTGAAAGCGAAACATGATCAGAATATTTATTTTCACAGATTTAAAAGAATTTCAGTGTTTCAGGAAGTTTTTCTGTAATACTAGTGGAGAGTGTATGAGTCTAAGATTGCGTGGGAACTATATTAGAATTTAGGAAGTACTGTACAACTTAGGACTAACTAAAACTCCCACGTCACTGACCACAGGGCTTTCATTAGATGACAGCCAACCACATCTTGCCACATGTTCTTTATGGTAGCAGATAGGGATTATATGGAAATGTACCGCTCACTTATTTTGCATGTGGCTTCAGTCATCGTATCATGATATGCAAAATATTGTTTTGAAGGATTTAGGACACATATGACACAAAATGTAACGTGTGACACCTGCAGGTGCTCTTAAAAAACACAAGAGACATATTTACCTGCAAACATGAGCTCAGAAACATCCGGTTTGACATGCAGACATGTGAAAAGAGGAAGCGGACACTGGGCTTGGTTTATTTTCTCCTGGATGTCGCTTAGCTTGATGCCCATTCTCTTGTAGGAGAGAACACTCAGTGTTAATCATCTGAACACCACATTTTACACGTCAGTCATAAGATTCAGATTTCTATCTCAATATGACTGCACAGTTATGTGACACTAAAAGAAGAACGATGAACTCGGATGGCACGTCAGTTCGAAGAAACGAGAAGAAGTGGCAGATGGATTTAAAGGGAAGGAACTGACTAACTTACTGGTTTAAAAAAAAAAAAAAAATCAGACGGGAATATGGAGTGTTGTCAACATTAAAACAAAGAGCACATACGAGGTTCTTACCGAGGGTATAAGTGTCTCTCCTATGAGCATACCAAAGATATCTGCAAAAGTAACCGGCTGTCCGGAGGCCTTTTTGGTCCACAGGGCCTGGATATAGTGGGTGATGTGCTGGGGCATCAACAGCCTAAGTGGGTTACTGCTAACTCTCTTCATCAACTCACTGTTGATGTCCTTCGGGCCCTTATTTGGAAAGTCAGGGTTGGAGTAGAGAGTTGACATGTACCTGCAGGAGTAAACAGGGAGGAAGTTAACAGATGCCATGTCAGTTAATACATGTTTTAACAATATACCTCTTTATGAGGTTTATGCAGGTACTTTACTTGTAAGGAAGTTAAATCCACTAAGTCGTGGAGACAGAAATAAGCCAGAGGTGCCTGCTTGAAGACTTCATACCAGCAGGGGAAGGGTGGAAAGTTTGCCAGAGCAGGGAGGAGCAACACCGAGGAAGAATTAGGAAATAAAACGAGAGAGAAACGTAGCAGTGGCAAAAAATGTAAAAATGAAAAGGTGTCTTTAGAAATAGGTCAGACAGAGGCAGGGTGCAAAGGAAACAAAGAGGAGGTGAAATAAAAACAGACCATGTGGATCCAGAGAGGCCAGCAATATATGTGGTACAGTCGAGGACCCCGGACTCAAACAGGGCCTTCATAACGCCCGAAAACCCCACCATGGCGCGGAAACCGCCTCCTGACCCGGCTATGGCTATCACTGGCACCTGTAAAACACACACACACACACACGCAGTAACAGTCATAAAAGGAAGAAGACAGGGCCATGCTTACTCACATCTTTGTTACAGAATGACAGCGGCTACGAGTCTCAACTTCATTCTTTCATCTTGAGTAATTTCCCTTTGCCGTCTCTATGGGCAGCAGCTTGCTAATTGCATCATGGCTTTGCAGCGTTTTCTGACTGGTAGATTTTCAGCTTTTTCAAAACTGCAATTGTGCAACATTGCTTCTTTTTACAGTCTGCATGGTCATTTCTGAATTACAAAGTCACTGTGGAGGAATTGTTGTGGAACGGTGGAAGGCATGGAACTGGATATCTCATTCCTGTGGAGCTTCCGTCACATGTTAGAAACATGAACAAACATGGCCCTAAGGCATTGAGCCAAAACCACACCACTGGGAAAGCTAGTGCAGCTCAGAGTACTGGAGCTGTGTGAGGCTTGTCTTTTACTTCCTGGTGTGAGAATTGTTGGTGTTATTTTAAATCTGAGAATGCAGCATGTCAAAAGCTGCACCACAGTCATGAATTTAGAAAGTCAGCAGCTCTGAAAGTCAGCACCAAGCACGAATACCCTCCCTAAAGTCAGCACACTCACCACGCTTTGCGCTACGTGGGATTAATGAAACAGACCATAAGGGAGGTAACAATTGCACAATGAGTCCAGATTTCACATCCATCATTCCTATCAGCCAAAAATATACAATTGGAAATAGATTAGAATAATTCTTTAACTGTCCCACAAGGGAAAATTTGGTTGTGTCAGCAGCAAAAACACATAAACAGAGCAGGACACAGAACAGAAACACAATTTTTACATATTTACATAATGGACAATAGTTACCAAAGCAGAGTACAGATAAGTGTCAAACCCAGGTTGTAGTGTGCAAACAGAGCAGGATACTGAAAGATGTTTAAATAGTTAAAAATATTTAAAATAATTGGAAATGTGCAGATTGTGTATTGTACCTGTGCATTAAGTAGACATGTAACTTCCAATAAGTTAGTGTATATATATGAACTGAGAAAAGTAATGTGCAAGTTATGACAGTAGAACTTGTTACAGCATTGATGTAAACATCTGTGTTTGTTGGGTGCAGTTTTGATTGTACAGTCTGACAGCTGCAGGGAGGAAATGTCATCTTACAGCAGAACACTGTAGAGTAGGGCTGTGCGATATGACCAAAATCTCATATCCCGATATAAGAATTCTATCGTCCTGATAACGATATAAATCACAAAAAGTAACATTTTCTGTAAATTCAGTGAATCTCGGGCAGCTCGACTTGCGTGAAGCGTTTCCAGCTGCGCGTCATGTAGCTGGAGTTGAGTGTTTTAACCGATATATGAAACGACACATTTTTAGACATAAGTTGTAACAGCCGCCATTTTCTTTGTGAGTATTTATTACACGGCGTGCTGCGGGGAAAAGCCTGTTCTAACGTTTGAGTCTAAGGTTTATTTTTTAGCACCTGGCGGCTCTTTTTTACTTCTCATCCGTAAATAATCTGCTCTTTCACATGATTCAGTTCATTTTGAAAAGTCTCAACAGGATCTTGAGCTTTATTGTGAAAGGTTAATGTGGAACATAAACAAGCGGACACGCGATGGTGTTACCGTCGTTGTTGCTAACCAAAATGCATAAAAAACAGGCGCTTGTTCGTCTGTAGTGTGGTTATATTAAATATAATAGAAAGAGAACTTTGAGAAATTAATATAGTCACTACAGTGACCATCAAAACAATGAAAAAATATTGCCGTAAACAGTTTATTTTGCGACATCACGAAACAAACAATGGCGTAAAATGAAACTAGATGATTTTATATTGTCATCCGATACATACGTTATATCGAACAGCCCTACTGTAGAGATCCCTTGAACGGCAGTTCTGAGCCAAAATGACTGGTCAGATTGCTTTGAGTTGATGGGAAGCCAACAGTAACTCAATAACCAGTCGTTACAACCAGTATGCACAGAAGAGCATCTGCGTACAGACAACACGTGAAATCTTGAAGCAGATGGGGTACAACAGCAGAAGACCACACTGAGTGCCACTTCTGTCAGATAAGAACCAAAAACTGAAGCTACAATTCAAATGGGATTATCACAATTGGCCAATAGCAGATTGGAAAAATGTTGTCTGGTCTGATGAGTCCAGATTTCTACTCTGTTAGTTGGATGGTAGGGTTTAATTTGACATAAACAAAATGAAAAACTGATCCATCCTGCCTTGTATCAGTGATTCGGGTTGGAATGACCTGCACCTTTGATGCCAACACCTGGTTGGCATCATCACTGGATTGGCTTCGCTCATATTTGAGTGGCAGAATTTTTAGTGTTAAAGTTGAAAATTTTGAGTCCACCTCAGCCCCCCTTCCTTGTGGGGTGCCCCAGGTGGCCCTCTTCTTTCTCCATTATACCTGCTCCCTTTGTGGTCTATTTTTAGAAAACACAAAATATCCTTTCACTGCTATGCAGACGACTGCCAAATTTATTTGTCTTTAGCACCAAATGGCCCAGGCTCCATCCAAATCCTTTTGAACTGCCTTGAAGATGTCAAAGCTTGGATGGCTCTGAACTTTTTGAGTTTCAATGAGAGTAAAACGAAGGTGATTGTATTTAGACCTAATAATATTTCATGCAACCCGCTCGTAAATTGTGGTTGGCTAGGGTCTTATATGAAGCAGCATGTGACAAACTTTGGAGTCATTATGGACTCCGATTTTAAATTGAACAAACATATCAGTTCGGTGTTGCAAAAAAGCTTTTTCCAGCTGAGGCAAATAGCAAAGCTGAAGCCAGTTTTGTCAAGACGTGACATGGAGAAGGTAATACATGCCTGTATTTCAACTTGGCTTGACTACTGTGATGCACTTTATGTTGGAGTCAGCCAAGGGTCTCTTGCTCGCCTTCAGCTCGTTCAAAATGCTGCTGCCCGCCTCTTGACTGGTACCCACAGGCATGAACATGTAACACCTATGATGTTTTCTCTTTATTGGCTTCCTGTTCATGACAGAATTACAAAGTCCTAACACTGGTTTATAAATGCCTTAATGGTCTTGCTCCCCCATATCTTTCCGAGTTACTTCAGCCTTCTATTCCTTCACGGACCCTCAGATCAGCTGACCAGCAGCTGTTGGTTGTCCCAAAATCAAGGCTCAAACGTAGAGGAGAACGAGCATTTTCAATTAAACAAAACCTTGTGTTTTTAAATGTGCTATATAAAATAATTAGATTTGGATTTGGTGGTGTCAGGATGTGGGGGCTATTTTCTTGGCACACCAGAGCATACCACAGTATTGACTCTGACCACATCCGCCCCTTTATGACTACATTGTATCCATCTTCGGATGGCTGCTTCTAGCAAGATAACACTCCCACATTTGAAACTGGTTTCTTGAACATAACAGGAAGTTCACTGCACCCAATGGCCTCCAAAGTCACCAGATGTCAGTCCAGTAGATCACCAACCAGTTCAGGTTGCTGGTGGTGGTGGTGGTATGATGTGGGTAGAATTTTCATGACACACTTTGGCCCCTTAACACCAAGAGGGCATCATTTAAATGCCACAATCTGAGCATTGTAACCAACCATGTCCCCCCCCCTTTATTAGCACAGTGCAGCAAAGGGGTGTTCACTACACCCAAATAGCTTCCACAGTCAACAGGTGTCAATCCAATAGAGCATGTTTGATGCTGGTGGTGTGGAAGATGCGCAGCCAACAGCAGCAACTGTGTTACTCTGTCATGTCCATATGGACCAAAATCACTAAATTATGTTTCCAGCACGTTGTTGAACCTCTGAGAGCAAAGGGGTGTCGAACCCAGAGTATAATGTTAATAATTTCCATTTATGTTTTGAGCTTGCCCCTCCCCATAAGACACTCAGTATAGCAATGTCTTTATGCAGCTCGATCATCCAGGTAAGTAAATCCCAAAAGGTTGATTCTGTTCATCTGGACGTAGCATTTTCAGTGGGAGAAACATTTTGTCATCCAAGTGTCTCAGAAGCGAAAACGCTTGTGATCCTGTATGTGACAGGAGTATCGAAACAGTTGAGACACATTTCGAAACACTGTGTCTGTGGCTTTTAAACCGCAAAACACACTGCACCAAAAATTGGTCCACCCCAAGGACTGGTTCCCCTGACACAAGCAGAGTAATGCAGTGTACACTGTTAAGTACCAGGCATGATTTATACATCGAAGAAACCAAGGAGGCCATTTACGTGAAAAGGGAAAGACCATCTCTGAATCGAGGAGGGGGGCCTAAAGGTACATTTCACCATTGTACAGTGCTGTGATTGCAGCCATTTCTCAACTCTGAATGGTACTCAAGGCCATTGATCAGTGGTTGTTGGTCAATGGTGATGACAATTTGCATATTAATGATCAAGAAATTGACCTCCCAGCCCATTGTTCCTTCAGTGGGTGGTTTCAGTCATTATGCAAATGTCCTGTTTATAAGATTGAGGAAACTGAAGAAGTCACTTGCAGTGTTGGTCAAGTTACTTGAAAAAAGTAATCAGTAACTAATTACTTCCCCAAAAAAGTAATCCCGTTACTTTACTTCTTTTCAAAAGTAATTAATTACTTAGTTACTTTTTAAACACAATTTACAACCTGAATAGGTGATAAAGTGATAGATCTTTCAGCCCAATTCTACTTTTTCTGCATAATCCATCATACAAAATGTAATCA